AGGTGTTGCGCCAAAGTAAATCCTGCAGGCTGGCCGCTTAATAGAGGTAAAAATTGACATAAAACATCATTTGGGACCGCTCTTTGGGTGGCCGCGGCTGCTTAATAGAGGTGGCCGTTTAATAGAGGGATAGTTTATAGTATTTGTATTACAAAAATTGGGGAATGGTCCATTCCACGAGCATTTTGGAAGTTGAGATTGTCTTGTACCGAGATTGAAGTTTATCACAGTGTTTATAATTGACTTTTTACTTTGATGCGAGGAAGAGAGGTGATTCGGTGGCGCAGTCGTCAGAGCAAGCGCCTTTCACCTCTGAGTTCGTGGGTTCGATTCTCGCTACGGACTCATGTGAAGAGAGTCTGTCAACGCTCTGCCGAAAGTCGTGGGTTTCCCCCGGGCGCTCCGGTTTCCTCCCACAAGGAAAATTGACCGGGTGGGTTAGGATAAACATAGTTAGGAATTAAATAATATCACAATTGTTGTAAAAACAGATAGTCTAAGCTTACCTGGTAGGTAACATAAGTAAGCGTAATAATGCTTGATGTAATCGGTCACTGAAAAGCGAATGAGCTGAATAATCATAATCATAATTATTTTCTAGACCTGGTATATAGCAAAGACACTTACTTGTTACCAGCCGTTACTTCAACTGCAGTATAAAATCTCTTATCACAAGTGAAGTTCTCAATAAGTGGTCCGTAAAATCCTAGAATCCCTTCCTCGCGAACAATTGTCTTCACGCTCTGAATCCCATTAAATATCGCCTGCGAGAATATACAAATTTACGTGGTTTATACAATGCTGGCTTTGGTTTGGATCAGTGGTGGAAAATGTCCGGCAGCGCCAGCAGCACCGCTTCCAGGACATTTTTAACAAAATATCTTGACAGGAAATCTTGTTAGATCTTGCAGGAAATTTTTGTCATCTTATATACTGGAATGTCATATAATTTACTTATTGTTTACAAAAGCGTTTTGCAAGTCGAGATTGTCTTGTGCCGAAATTGAAGTTCATCAACATACATTCTCTGAAGTCTACATGTGCAGGAAGTTTTAGATTTGATTTACACAGGAAATTTTTAGTTTTGAATTTCGCTGCCATGCAGGAAGAGAAATATATTTTCTAGGCCTGGTTTGGATTCTGAACAAGAGTGCCCAATATCGGGAAACGTAACATAACACATCTTTTGAAATTTTTTGGTATTTCAGTTTACTTAAAGAGTATTTCTAGTCTACGTCACAGCTAGACGATATCAAAATTCTAAAAGTATATCTCGTGCATCTTTTAGAGCTACAGTATCTGCTAATTTACCGGGTAGTACTGGAACTTTTATTCGCACTATGACAGAAGAGAGTCTGCTGTAACGTATACGGCATAGTCTCGGTTTTAGGAGTCGTTTTGTTTTTCATATACCCAACCTTTTACTCATTCGAAATTTTGTTTACCCAACCCTTTTCTCTTCGGTGCCCCCCCCCCCCAACCATAAATAATAACTGGTCCCTAAGTTTGCTATCCGTTGAATGTGGTAGCTATACCCATAGCCACGTGTTTTGTGGTATACGTTACAGTATGTTCTACAGCGAAAAAATGTTTCCTGTTGCAAACAGGAACAATAACTGAACATGAAAATGTTTTTCGTGAACTGATCTCTGCAAAACAATATCCAGCAAATCCCTATAATTACAGGGCTCGTGCAATTAGAAAGAGTAAAATTCAAGGACTTTTCAACGACTTTCAAGGCCATGTATCAGGAAATTCAAGGGCTAAATGGCTGAACAGAAGGTGTTGGAAATCAGTACGAGTGACGTCAAACTATCCAAATAGCAACTTGTAAGACATGGACAAAATCATTAATGTCAAACAATTTCAGAAAGTATTAAAATACTAAAGAAAAGATGGCTTGCGTACAAAAATGGAAGGTTTGAAAAGCAATCAGAATTCATAGGTGTACATGTTTTGTGAGCTATCAAAGTACCAAACAATTTGATGTACGTTAAGCCCAACGCGCGATCGATATCTTTCACGCATAATTTATCACATGATATAATCTAGGACATGTATAGGAGTTTGTATGCATTTCATTTAGCACAGGTAATCTCAACTGTTTTAGGGTAAAATGACCAGCAGCGGTCAACATGGCATATGTGCCAAAACCTGAATCCGGCATGAAAGTCCTGAAAACGCTCTAACTTCAGAAAAGCAAAAGCGACAGCCTTTCTAAAGTCCTTATAGTGTTTAGAAGGGTCGCTTTTAGGGGTGGTTATTGGAAAGAAAAATTTGTCTTTTAAGTATAATATTTTACACGAAAATGACCATGCACCACCTCAGGTCAACTGCTAATTATGCATATAAAATAACTAATATACCTGGCAGAAATTTAAATTTCCTTATTTCCTAAGAAAAATATTATCATGGGATGAAAAACTATGCTTAATTTAATATAATTATTGTAGATTTCATATAAGGATTGTCATTGTTTTCTATAAATATGATATATTTTATTTCATTTACCTCCCACGAAAACACGATTTCAGCCATATTTTATGATTGATGATAAAAACAATATATTTATTATTGATTCTGATACTACATGTGTTATGGAGTGAAACTAATGTTTTCAATTTTACAATTGGGACTATTTTACAATGTCAATGAAGTACTCTTGGATACTGTAATCTAAATACATATGAAGACGAAGAAGTGGCGGCATTTATCGGGCAGAGAGCGGCGAGGCATTGCAATGGCGGCAATTTGACGAAATATCGAAAGACAACAGGTGGGAAATTTGTGGTCGCTGACCAAAAAATCGCGGGCAGAAACAAAGCTCCATTGCATTTACATTCAAAACAAAGCAGAAAGTTAGCAAGAAGCAGTTTTAGCTGACGATTTTTTGCTTTTCATTCAACGATTTACAAATTACCGGTTATTCTTTTAAATATCGATCATGAATTCTTTGTTTTGGGATGATTTTTTTTTTGTAATCGAGTGATTGGAAGAAGTGAATATGGCGACGTGAACATGGGAGCAAATATACCGTATACGTCGAGTTATGGCTTGCTTAAAACCGTAATAAACGAAGAAAAACATGACATGAGAATGGAATGTAAGTTGAAATTTATTTTATATGCCTCACATTTTACATACTATGTTTCTTAATGTAACTTCAGCGGTCTAAGTTCAAAATACAAGCTCGCGAAATTTGACAAATTTTGAAAAGATGTAAAAATAGCTTGACTTTGAACTGTAATTTCTTAAAAATAGCCCGTGGAAGACAAACCTTTTCGGCGTTTGTAGGTATCAAACATATCGTCAGGAAAATAGGGGCTCACAATGTTTTAGAAAGTCTTTGAGACCCAGTTGCTTCGCACGTGTTGTGGTCAAATTTTTGCCAAGAATCAAAGGCCGAAAGGTGAACTTCCTCCATGAAAACCCCCTCGAGAAGGGTCTAGTTTGAAAATTTAGCTCTTAATTTCCATTTCATGAGCATATTTTGGTTACACGTTAAATATATTTGTACTTGATGAGATTCAAAATTTGTTGTATATTCAAGCCCGGCTTCAGTGTAATTTTGGTGATGACCGGAACAGAAATAAAGATATTTTAAAAACTGGCCGTGGCCTCACGATAAAACTTTCTAAAAATGTTCTCTGTTTCATGTATTTTTATTTGATATCTTAGGTATAAGCGTAAAAATAGGGGCTCATACAGTTTACGAGGTTGTAAAATGCATTACTTGCCTCTATTTTCATGTAAACATTCGAAATTTTTCGACAGCAAAGTAGCAACTGATTCATATCGAATGCACACGGACAGCCCACCAGAGACAATGGCAGGGTACTGAAATAGAACGTCACTAAAAAATTCTGTATGATTAATTTAGATCATGTCCATTTTCAACATAAAACAGTCATTTATTTTGTACAAACATTTGGCAATATTTACACGATTTTGCCTTTTTGTAAACACGCGTTGCGTGTATTCCACTTAATTGCGTAACTCATTTTGCTCGCACATGCTCAGACAAATTTCCCACCTGTTAAAAAAGTATAGAAACTGATCCAACTTTTTCGCGGCGAATTCTTTTTGCTGACCAATCACATTGCCAAGATTTGTTTTTAGCTTCGCGCGAACAAAACCCTGTCGAACTATCATTTTTACCCGTCTCGAGGATTGTACTAAAAAACTGTGTTCGCAATTTTATTGTTGCTTTAGGGGTTACTTAGCTAAGACATACTATTTCCCAACTTGTGTTATATTGTAATCAATATACAACAAAAGGCTTGCATAACTTTGCAACTGAAGGCCTGTAAAGCTCGCGCGAACACATGCAGTGTCGTAGCCAAGACAAACATTTGCAATGTGTGCAAATTTAAGATGAATCGGTTAAAACGCACAGTTAACATCGCCTTTTTAGTGTGTGTATACGACTCAAAATTAATGTGTCTGAAAATTGGCTTTAATCTGATTAGTTTTCCCGCCAAGCATATAGACTTCCGAAAGCCTCTCACCGGACAACTTAATTTACTTTTGAAATATTTTAAGCACGTAAACATGCATGCACATAAAATGGATTATAATAAAGAATACACTCCTTCAGTTTAAAATACCCACAGCACAATTGTTAAATAAACTGTATTGGCTCTATTCTATTCTGTATTTATTTCCTCAAGCTAAGCAAAGATGAAAGAAAAGCTTTGGAGATAATATCCACCATTGGCTGTTCTGTGTCGCTAGTAGGAGTAATTTTGACGATTTTGATATACGCATTGTTTTGGAAAAGACTTCATAGAAACTCCAAGAGTAAAGTACCTTCCCAAGTGCTCATGCATCTCTGTGTTGTGATTGGAATGGCAGATATATTTGCTATCCTGGCCGGACCCGCACTAAAATACAAGGTGAAGCTCAGAGAAAACCGTAAGCGCACGGACCTGATACTTTTGAAGGGGGGGGCACTTGAAAGTTTACCCAAATTTTTGTGGAATATTGTAATGAAGTGACCGGAATGTGATATATTTTGTGATACTTTTTCCCGAATTTTCTTCATTTTTCCTTGCATTTTTCCGAATTTCCATGGTTTTCTATCCCCATGGTTTTCTAACCCCTCTGCTTCTCTGTCTCGTATGCATATGCACGGGAAAACCAGTAAATATTTGCAAGAAAATTTTTCAGGCGATTGAATAAATTATGTCGTCTCAGTATTAGCTCATTCATAACAAATATTGGCTGTGACATGTCCAAGGTTGAAAACTAGCCAAATAATGTTTGCAAGACAATAAGAGACATAAGAGGAAGGTCTCGCTATATGTCATGGTCATGCAGCAAAAATGCTCTTATTTTCTCGGGTGTTTTTTTTTTTGCATAAATTAGGTTTTCATAGAACATCAAAATTTATTTTCTTCCTTTCCATTCTAGACATTTTGTATAGCCGTTTCCATATTATTATATTTCTTTGTACTCGCTCTTTTTGGTTGGATGCTATGTGAAGGAATTATCATTTACTTTCAACTCGTGAAAGTCTTCTCAGGAATGGGTTTGGGAGGAAAACATCTGAAGAGATTCTATGTTATTGGTTGGGGTAAGCAACATTGGAATAAGATTTATAAACCGACTATCGCCTGAACGTTCTTGGATTAGTATTAATATACTATGAAGCAAAACAAAAGAAGTAACAAAATAGGATTAAACTACAGCGCACCTCATACCTCTCCAGCGAAATCAAGTTTTCATACAGGAATTATAGACAGACAGACAGACAGACAGACAGACAGACAGACAGACAGACAGACAGACAGACAGACAGACAGACAGACAGACAGACAGACAGACAGACAGACAGACAGACAGACAAACAGACAAACAGACAA